GGGAAAGAATTCATTGCCTTTCTTGGAAGTTCCAGCCGGAGTCCAGCAGTGCCACCATTACTACTGATCCATGTTCCTTACTGATCCATATTCCTTCCTAATGTCAGTGAATAGATTTGCCTGTGAGGATCTTATGTTTACTTCGGGTAACAAATGAAAATACCAAGCAGCATCAGGCTTTGCGATTTGCCTGGGATCTTGCCTGATATCTAGTGAATTCCCACTGACAATGCCTGAAATTAGTGATGGTGATGACTCTTAACAGATGCCACTTTATAAAGATCTCTGAGTTCATTTTAGTTCATTTATTGACTTATTGGTGCAGGACGATTGTGGTACTGTAAGAAACTCTAAACAAATACGTAAGCGTCTTCAGTATAGATAAACAGAAAACCCATTTTCAATAGCCAAAGAATGAAATCACACTGGCTTCTTTTTTCTTCCTGATTGAAAGAAGACTGAGGATCACACATACAACTTTTTTTACAGATAATGCCTTGTTTGTTCATTTATCAGATATTAAATATCCTGTCGTCAAATTTGAATCAGTCTCTTGAACTACTGCATTCGTTTGTAAGTTTTGCTTGTTTCATTGCGAGATAGCTGTATTATGCAGAAAAAAAATGGTTTGAAAATCATCGTTTATGAGCTACTGAAGTTAAAATACGTGGGTAAAGAGTGCTAAATAGATTATATCAACTACGGTGTGTGTATAAGCTATTGGAATGTTAGCATTTGCTATCTACAATAAATATCTGCTTAGATATGCAATTAGATGAACTGTTTATAGTATAACAAAACACTAAGGCTATTTGCCCTTGGAATGCCCTACGTAAAGCATGCTGTGTCATTTATGAGGGAAAATGTCCCTCTTACAATTCCTGCAAAACTTCAAAATTAGGAGTATGTTGTGCTGTTGTTTTTTTCTTTTTTTCCAAAAATCAGTTTTTTCCCCCACTTCTAGAAAATTCTTCAAGGCCTTAAGTAGAGTGGAGGAGGGAAGTAACACAATTAGATTTTCGGAGTGGTATGTTAAAAAGACCAATCATCTACCTTTTTTGTACTCCTGCTACCCAACCTCACTGTAATAGCAGTGTGAACTCACAGGTGATTTTAATTCTTCCTGTTTCCATTACTTGCCAGAAAGGATGTTAATACAGAAATTGCTACCATTAGGTTTCAGCATTTGCATTTTCTTTTGGAAATTGAAATCGGAGACCATTATGCTCAACTAGACTTTCTGCATAACTTTGGTTTCAGGGTTTGAGCCTTTTTTTGTTGGTTGCTTTTTTCTATTAAACATGTATATGAGCCATAACACAGTTTTTAGATGCATTTTTCAAGTGAGGAAGAAACTGTCCACTCCAACCAAGTTGTTTCAGTATTCATCTAATGTGAGATTAGAAACTGGTTTGTATGACCAATTCTTTTCTGTGAAATGGAAGAATTCTTCCCTTTGCTCTATGTAACTGCTTAGGCCCTACTTCAATAAATAGCTTGTACTAAAATTTATTGTTATAAGGCATAATCTTCAGACCTTTACATCAAATCTTTGGTCTTTTGGATATTCTTTTTGGCATGTGGATGCTGGGTTTGGAATCAATATTTTAATAATAGTCTTTGGAATGCCACAGGTACAGGTGATGCCACTTCTCCATTCCCTGCTTCCAGGCTCTGCAGAAAATGTTAGCTGCAGTATGTTTTCTTTTTTTTTTTTTTTTTTTTTTCCTTCCCCCTCCCTTGCCCTGTTTGTACTTCTTGCCCTCTGGAATACCAGGAAGTATGTTAAATTAATCAGATATTTCATACCAGTGTGTATGAACAGCATGAAAATAGCCCGCAATAAGTGACATCAAATACTAATTGAGTTACCGTTAGCATCAGAAAGTGTATGTTCAGCAACTTAGCTGCTTACACTGTGCTGTGAAAAAGCAACAGCATGGAAGACGAGATGAAGCTGAGTATCAAAGGTTAATACTTTTGGAACTGGAAGCCTGAAGGGTGTTTTTGAGTTAATATGGCTTTGAATTTCATTGTATTCCTATTTTTTCCTACTGTAAGCAATGAGAAAATCTACTGTTCAAGCTGCAGTAAGCTGGCGAGGGAAGTTGCAACCAAAACACCCGTTGAAAAGCATCTGAAGAAATATCAGGACTTACTCTGTTTACTTTATTAATTCTAGATGATTGCCTTAGTAAGGGGAAGCGGGAAAAGGCAGCTGACTGAAGAGAATGGGTGAGCATGTGAAATAGAGATAAGTTAAAAAAAAATTAAAATCACATGATGACTACAAACGGTTGTGGTGATAGTTCTGAATTCTTGCAAAATAACACTGGAGACTGTCTGTGTGTGTCCTTCTGTCTGTACGTCGCATCCCAACAGTGCTCCTCTGGACTGAGAGCAAGCACATAGCAGTGTTGGATTTGCGCTGCTGGTGTAGAACTTTAAGTCATGAGGATGAGTAATGAGCAGTGCAATGAAGCAGATAGACGCCTGAGGTAAGCCACGGAGGATTTATAATCAAAAGGTCCCGTGAGGAAACCCCATGTATTTTACAAAAAAAACCAGCTCCAAAGTAGGTGACTAAAGAGAAAGAAATATGTGTTATTTCGCAGCTTAGTAGTTGAAGTAGTGCTTCCAAGCTGCTCAAGGAGGTGAAATCCTAGTGCTATGGAAGAATTTTAGTAAACAAAGACTCTCCTGTGCAACTGTGGAAAAATAACTGGACATTGAGTGTAAACAGATGATGCTTGTAATGTAATGCACAAATAGGCTTAAGAGGAATGGGGAAAATGCAGTTTGTAAACTACCTCCTTAAGGAATTAGTTGATGAGAGTATACAGGATGTGGCTTTGACTGGGTGCTGTAAAATTACCCAGAAGTTAAACTTCTGCCTATAATTACAAATAAAGAAGGACAAAAAGAAAAGATTTTTCTAATTAGAAAAGTAGTCCATGTAGTCTGATTTTTCTGACTTGGCCAGTAATAAAGCGAGGGCTTTTGTAAAACTGGTGAGAGCAAAATTTTGCACTTGTGTAGAGGAAGGTACCGTAAAATGTTAGTGACGGGCTATGGTGTAACTGGCTGGGGGGCTGGTCAGGGCAATTGAAGCCTGTGGGTGTGCCCAGGGCCCCGACAGACACATCCTTTGGTCTTGGGACGTTTTTTATGTGTGTCAGCTTTGTAATGTAATTGCAAATGCTTCTTGGCTGATGTTTTGTGACAAACTTTCTCAGTTCATGAAGAACTTGCAATATATGCATGGGTTTCTGGAAAGCTCTGCAAGCCTGCTCTGCAGTGTGCGAATGGTACTTTTTTGAGCGTTTGCAAGCAGGACATGGTATAAATCCAGAGGTATAGCAGGTCCCATCCCTGCGTTAATGAACTAGTTGAGCTGGACATGGCTAGTAGTTTAATCTACCTATCTATAATGTATTTCTTCCTTGGCTGAAAGGAAATTCTTTTGGGATTCTAGCAAACCAATTTAAAAGCTTTCTTATTTAGGAAATTATGTTTCATGTATGAAACAGAGTAGCATGAGTATTCTGGTTGCATAATGACGCTGCCTTTTGGATAGCAGGGCCTGATTCTCTTACACACCGTCTCGGTGAAGAAGGGGATGGCTTGAGACCTCCCTTTGAGGTCTCACTTCTCTTATGAGGGTAAGAAAACACTGTGTTTCTTAGCTTTTTCTGCAGACCTTAGAGGATTTCCAAAATCCTGGTGGAGTAGCTCTAATTACAGCTGGTAAAAATTGCACTTTCCTGAACAACCAAGTAAATTGTGGCTGGTTGACTGTGTTGTAATGTTACAGGGTGTGTAATGTCAGGGCCCAGGAGTAGGGAAATGCAGGAAGTGAATGTTTATATTGTGGTCTTTGTGTATCTGCTAGTTCAGAAATGAATCACTTTCTTTTTTTATGAGTGCCCAAGGTACTGCTGTAGAGGTGGAAAGCTTTTTGGGGTCAGAGCAGTAAGTTACTGTTTTGCAATTGGGTATCTCTTGGGTTTGCGCTAGGTTAGAGAGTGGGTTTTTTTTTTTTTAAATTTTATTTTTTAATCTTTATTCCTAGTGACATCAGTATTCTCGCAATAACAGGGACTAATTCTGGGCTTCTTTCCAGACTGATGTCTTTGATCAGCTAATCGCCTTGATAGAACAGAGGCATTCCCAGCAGAACAGAAGGTACTCAGGATTTTCCCAGATATTCACATTTTCATGTGTAGTTCATGTAGCAAAAATTTGGGCTAAGCTGTTTGAAAGGCATCATGTGAACCCTGTGTTTTGAAAGAGTGACTAAAATGAAGTGATATGTAAGAACCAAATAATTATTCAAAATTCTTAGCAAACAGGAAGGTACCTGGGGAAAGAGAAGACAATGACTGAGGGGTCCTATTTTTATTTAGGTTGAACAGCTTCTTCAGAAGGAAATATAGAAATGTAGGACTGAGGTGCGAGTCTTTCCTCCCAACCACGTTGCTTCTCTCTTTCTTCAGGCAATAGATTGGTAGCGAGTCCTTTTTATGTCCATCCTTGGGATAAGAATAGTAGTTTGCATCACTATCTATATATTCCCTCCGTTTCTCTAGGTCATCTTAATTTTTGTTTATTATTTTAGCTTTTTTATTAAAGAATAATGCAGCTTGCACAGTTTCTGTGTTCAGAACAAATTCTAATTTTTTGTGGGCTTTTTTTTATCCCCCCCTTGAAGAGATCAGTGCTAGCTGATCTCTGTTTGGACAAAAGACACGCCACTCTAACGAGTAGTCTTCCTTTATGGCTAAGTTGAGGTTTCAGGGATGCTTTCTGTGTAGGCCATTGCCTTATTTGCCAGCTTCCTTTAACAGTCCTGTTACAGCACTCTAATTTAACTGAATCTTCAGGCAGTAGAAGGGCCTGGTTCGTTTGCTTGTTACGAGTGTGTGACTTGAGTGACAGCAGGCTGTGTGAAATAGGTTGGTCTCAATTCTGCTCTAAGTGCAGGGAATTCCATGCATAATCTGCATGTGGCATGCATGGCCATCGTGGTGGAAATTTTGACTTTAATGACAGTAGAAGGGCCTGGTTCGTTTGCTTGTTACGAGTGTGTGACTTGAGTGACAACAGGCTGTGTGAAATAGGTTGGTCTCAATTCTGCTCTAAGTGCAGGGAATTCCATGCATAATCTGCATGTGGCATCGTGGTGGAAATTTTGGCTTTAATGATTGAGTATGAACATCTGCTAAGTCTTCTGTCTGAAAGTAGACCTTCCAGCATGAAGTTCAGGACACATCAGTGAGATGGTGAAACTTGAACTGTTTTTGCCGTACTGAGAATTTGCAGTGGACAGATAGAAGACCTCATTCTTGGGCTAAAAGCTTTTCAAGGACTAGGCATAATTTGAAAAGAAAGATTTTTAACCACCTTCTAAAGATCTTCAAGTATAGTCTACAGTAACACAACATCCTGTTAAAAGCTTTAGTACTCTTAAGACCTCCATAGCAGTAGCTCTTGAAGATCAGTATTTTGGGGGAGAATAGTCAGAAAGCTCAACAATGGGTGATGTTTTTATTTTTCTTTCTTTTTATGCTGTTTTTTTTCCTAATCCTACAGAAACATGCGGACTTGTGCTGAGTCTTTGCCATGTTGTCCATTATAATAAATGAGTCACAAAATGAATTACCCACAGTTTTCTGCATACTCTGGATGGGTTTTACTTGCCTTCTTTAATGTTAAAGTAGAGGTTGTAGTGCAATATATTACTGTTTTCAAAATTATTGTTTTAACGAACAGAAAAATGTGAGAAGCCCTGAATTTGCGCTAGGTCTCACTGGAACTAGTAGTCTGAAAACCTTGAGATTTTTGGCAGTTTCTACCCTGCACTATTATCTCCATCTGCTATTTGATTTGGAAATTCAGTCTCATAGTACGTACAGTACTTGATTGGTGTCTAGATGGGGGGACAGAAGGGATTTGCTACAAACCGTAAGAACTCCGTGGATGTGGGTGTATCATGAGTAAGTTTTTTGTAGAGGTTAAGGCACAAGGATAAGCTAGATCACTCAAGCAATCCTGTAGACTTGAGACTGTTACCTTTCATCCAGTTACTTTGCAAGTGGGCTACGCTACAGCTGTGGTCAGCACTTTCTGCTGCTGTTGGCTTTAGTGCTGAATCAAACTGACATCAGGATAGAGCAGTCACCCTCAAGAGAAGTATTGTTCTTCCTGTGGCCTGGTTGTGTTTTTTCACCATGTTTTGAAAAGTGTAAGTAAAGGAATGGTGTTCTGCAGAGTAACATTAGGAGCATTGGTTTGTTTTTTAGAAGTGTATTTTTAAAGTGTCTTTTATTTTCCTCTGTGCATCTTTTACAACCTTAATGATTCTATGATTCTATGATTCTGCTACATGCCAATAACGGACAGCACTATTCAGCACTGGTGAGGCCACACCTGGAGTCCGGGGTCCAGTTTTGGGCTTCCCAGTACAAGAGAGACATGGACATACTGGAGAGCATCCAGCAAAGGGCCACAAGGATGATGAGGGGACTAGAGCATCTCTCCTAAGAGGAAAGGCTGAGAGAGCTGTCACTGTTCAGCCTGGAGAAGAGAAGGCTCAAGGGGATCTCAGCAATGTTTGTAAATACCTGAAGAGAGGGTGCAAAGAGGATGGAGCCACGCCCTGCTCAGTGGTGGCCA